TAAAAATAGTTGGAAATGGTTAGTTTTGGACTCGTAGGTGAAAAAGTACCATTAACTGGAACACGTGATAATCCGGCTGGAGGTCCTTCCCATATAGTCCAGATAATCGAGTGGAGACAGTACTTGTGTTACTAATATGCACACAGTACCGTATTATATTCTTTGAAATCATTATTATTTTCTTTTCACGTACGTTTTTGCTGTTTATTACACTGTGTACACGTTATATATATATCTATCTACATTTTATACATCAATATGAACCACTAAGTAGTTATGGTGGGTGTGGTAATCTCATAACCCAAGCACAGCATAGCACCACCTGCCAGTTAGTTGCCGACTGCATCTGACAAAGCAAAGTGCCTCCTGATATACTACGCACTTTGCTAACTCTAGCCACAGCACTGCTATTATTATCTGAATCTTGGTCACTAATAAATCATGAATATGAATAATTTTCCACAAGGTCATTTTCTAAAATTTCATAGTGCATAGAAGTACCAAATTGGTGTTATTTACTGTGGATGTCTGCCTCTATGAACATGTTAACCAGCATTGGGTTCATTGATATCTGAACCTTGTACATAGTCTTTATCACAGTCAGGATCTTCTGTGACACTCATCGTTAAATAATTGCAGTTACTCGTCTATTTCATCATTGTTAAGTGATGCTGTGGGCATAAGCTGCATGGCAGTGCTGTGAGCTGCTGCTGCTGCATACACTACTTATGGTCACTTTCAGTACTGAAGCCCCTCACACTCAGGAGGAGTACCCACAGAATTGTTCCAAAATGGCATCTCTTTGCTGGAGGCCTGAGGAAGCAGATGTGAAGTACTGGGTTCACACCTATACAGATGTGAGCCCTGCGAGCAGCCGGACTCAAAGGGAGTCATAGAGAATGGATGGAACTGGATTCTAGATGGAACTGGATGCCAGACCCACTTGCATACCAGAATCACAGATACAATTACACAATTACATACAGTAGTAGTGAAATATACGCCTAGAGCGACGCGCGCCATCTGGGCGGGTGGGATCCCCGCGAATAGTGCGACGCGCGACATCTAGGCAGTTGGAGCACAATGGGTTTTGGGGGATTTTCCCGGAAGTTGTGGCGTGTCGGACGCGTGTGAGCGTCCGGTGTTTGGGTATGCGGTCAGGAAAGATGGGAGGTCATGTTGTTGGGGGTGTAGGAGAGTATGTGGGGTAAGTGGTAGAGTAAGAAATACAAGGATATGAGTGGAATATGAGGATAATAGTAAATGAATATGTATGTGTGTTTGCCGTAGACTTAATCCTGTGTGTAGATAATAGTTTTGATTAAAAGAAGATAGTAAGTAAGCTATGTAGAGGCTGTGTGTAGGTGTGAGGGGTCCCAACATAGGCGGATATGTTGTTTGGGGTGGGGGAGGGGTGAGGGAAGGGTGAGGGGAGCTTCCCCTCGGCGTGAGAGTGCTTAGGGCCATTTGTGGTTTGTGGTTTTTGGACGGGCATTATTCTTTTCTTCGAGAGAGCAGAGTCCAGGAGGAGATGAGAGCTGCAGCAGGAGGGATGTGGTCCATTTGCCTTAATGGTGACTTCAACTTGAAATCCATAGACTGGGAGGCATATGAAGCTAAAACAGAAGATTTTTGGACCTGTAAATTTGTAGACCTCATCCTGGAAACATTCTTGTATCAACATGTTAAACAAGCTACGAGGATGAGGGAAGGGGACGTTCCCTCCATGCTAGATTTGATATTTACCAGGAAGGAGGAAGAGATATTTGACATTCAGTACCTTCCTCCCTTGGGTAAAAGTGACCATGTCTTTTTGGGAATAAAGTATGCAATGCGTTATAAGCTGGAAGAAAATAAGGAGGTTGAAGCAATTGAAAAACCAGACTTCAGGAGAGGACATTATGGTGACCTTAGAAATTTTTTTAGTGAGTATAATTGGACAGACTTGATGCTAGGCAAGGAAGTGAATAAGATGTATGTCAAGTTTTGTGAAATATATGATAAAGGCACAAAAAAATTTATACCAAAACAGAGATGCAGAACTAGGAAACAGGATTGAGGTTACCTTGAGGTGCTTCCGGGGCTTAGCGTCCCCGTGGCCCGGTCGTCGACCAGGCCTGGTTGCTGGACTGATCAACCAGGCTGTTGGACGCGGCCGCTCGCAGCCTGACGTATGAGTCACAGCCTGGTTGATCAGGTATCCTTTGGAGGTGCTTATCCAGTTCTCTCTTGAACACTGTGAGGGGTCTGCCAGTTATGCCCCTTATGTATTGTGGAAGCGTGTTGAACAGTCTCGGGCGTCTGATGTTGATAGAGTTCTCTCTCAGAGTACCTGTTGCACCTCTGCTTTTAAACGGGGGTATTCTGCACATTCTGCCATGTCTTCTGGTGTCATGTAATGTTATTTCTGTGTGCAGGTTTGGGACCAGTCCCTTAATTATTTTCCACGTATAGATTATTATGTGTCTCCCACCTGCGCTCAAGGGAATACAGATTTAGGCTCTTTAGTCGGTCCCAGTAGTTTAGATGTTTTACTGAGTGGATTCTAGCAGTAAAGGATCTCTGCACGCTCTCCAGGTCAGCAATTTCTCCAGCTTTGAAAGGGGCTGTCATTGTGCAGCAGTACTCCACTCTAGCTTCAAGTGGGCTGTTCTTTAGATATGACATGACGGCTCCAGTAGCAGGGTGATGTAACAGTGTATTCCGAACATAAAGACTACCATTGTATGTCATCTCTTCTGCAAACTGTCGTTTATATGTAAGGTTTGTGTTGGGATAGAATTAATCCCTCTACCACTTGCTCCTCTTGTTTGGTAACCCTTGGAGATCTCTATATGTCAGTAGATATACATACTGTATTGTGGACATACAATGAGAGTGAGTTAACTTTAGTCCTGGACTATGTTCAAGACTAAAGTATATTGACTGGTTTGTCAGTATGTTGTTACTAGTTATCAGCTGTACTTCATTTTATTTAGTAATTGCATCTTTAGTGATGGCTTTGTCAAGTTTGACCTTTGGTTGGATGTGATGGAAGTTGGGCAGGCAGAGGCAGCATAGAGGGGGCTGTACCCTCTGGGACTGTCATGGATGTGGGGCAAGCAGAGGCAGCATAGGGGGCTGTACCCTCTGGGACTGTAATGGATGTGAGTGAGGCAGAGACAGCATAGGGGGCTGTACCCTCTGGGACTGTGATGGATGTGGGGCAAGCAGAGGCAGCATTGGGGGCTGTACCCTCTGGGACTGTAATGGATGTGAGTGAGGCAGACAGAGCATAGGGGGCTGTACCCTCTGGGACTGTGATGGATGTGGGGCAAGCAGAGGCAGCATTGGGGGCTGTACCCTCTGGGACTGTAATGGATGTGAGTGAGGCAGAGGCAGCATAGGGGGCTGTACCCTCTGGGATTGTAATGGCTGTGGGTGAGGCAGACATCATAGGGGGCTGTACCCTCTGGGACTGTAATGGATGTGGGTGAGGCAGAGGCAGCATAGGGGGCTGTACCCTCTGGGACTGTAATGGATGTGAGTGAGGCAGAGACAGCATAGGGGGCTGTACCCTCTGGGACTGTAATGGATGTGAGTGAGGCAGAGACAGCATAGGGGGCTGTACCCTCTGGGACTGTAATGGATGTGGGTGAGGCAGAGACAGCATAGGGGGCTGTACCCTCTGGGACTGTAATGGATGTGGGTGAGGCAGAGGCAGCATAGGGAGCTGTACCCTCTGGGACTGTAATGGATGTGAGTGAGGCAGAGGCAGCATTGGGGGCTGTACCCTCTGGGACTGTAATGGATGTGGGTGAGGCAGAGGCAGCATAGGGGGCTGTACCCTCTGGGACTGTAATGGATGTGGGGCAGGCAGAGGCAGCATAGGGAGCTGTACCCTCTGGGACTGTGATGGAAGATGGGCAGGCAAAGGCAGCATAGGGAGCTGTACCCTATGGGACTGTGATGGATGTGGGGCAGGCAGAGACAGCATAGGGAGCTGTACCCTCTGGGACTGTGATGGAAGATGGGCAGGCAAAGGCAGCATAGGGGGCTGTACCCTCTGGGACTGTAATGGATGTGGGTGAGGCAGAGGCAGCATAGGGAGCTGTACCCTCTGGGACTGTAATGGATGTGAGTGAGGCAGAGGCAGCATTGGGGGCTGTACCCTCTGGGACTGTAATGGATGTGGGTGAGGCAGAGGCAGCATAGGGGGCTGTACCCTCTGGGACTGTAATGGATGTGGGGCAGGCAGAGGCAGCATAGGGAGCTGTACCCTCTGGGACTGTGATGGAAGATGGGCAGGCAAAGGCAGCATAGGGGGCTGTACCCTCTGGGACTGTAATGGATGTGGGTGAGGCAGAGGCAGCATAGGGGGCTGTACCCTCTGGGACTGTGATGGATGTGGGGCAGGCAGAGACAGCATAGGGGGCTGTACCCTCTGGGACTGTAATGGATGTGGGGCAGGCAGAGGCAGCATAGGGAGCTGTACCCTCTGGGACTGTGATGGAAGTTGGGCAGGCAAAGGCAGCATAGGGAGCTGTACCCTCTGGGACTCTGATGGAAGTTGGGCAGGCAGAGGCAGCATAGGGAGCTGTACCCTCTGGGACTGTGATGGATGTGGGGCAGGCAGAGACAGCATAGGGAGCTGTACCCTCTGGGACTGTGATGGATGTGGGGCAGGCAGAGACAGCATAGGGGGCTATACCATCTGGGACTGTGATGGTGGCTGAGAGGCCTACTCTCCTTAATTGCTTTTCTTATCTTTCTGTCAGAGTAATATTAATGTCTGTGTTGCCTTTCCTCTAATTGTTGATTTACCTAATGTCAGTAATAAGTAATTCCCATTGATTATTAACTAGCATCATGTATATTAAAGGAAAAATGTACACTAGTGTGGATTATGAAGTGAAGTTGTTATAAAGTAAGTATGTAATTCAGAACATGATATAACACCTATTATGACTATTGGTCTTGGAATTTCTGTTCAAATAACTTAAAGATAATTTTCTTTCCAGATTGAGTCATCAGTGCTTAAATATTTTATCAGATGTTGAATTCACCATGAACTCCAGAATGGCAGAAAATGTGTATGTATTACTAAAGATTAACAATTCAATGTATATGTATACAGAGGAGTCTCGGTTAACGAATTTAATTTGTTCTGGCACCGAGCTCATCATGTGAAACACTCATCTTGCGAAACAAATATAAAATTATGGAAATACAATTATTCTGTTCCACCCCGAAAAACATCAATATGAAATTTTATAATGTAATTATAATACATGTAATTATCATAAATGTTTTGTTTTACTGTTTTCAATTGTACTTTACCTTATGAAGAGTCGTTGCTGAGACAGTGGGGAGGAGGAGAGGGGTTACGGTATGGATACTCCGTACTGCCTGGCGAGATAAGTCACACAAACACCATCTTGAGGTTATCTTGAAATGATTTCGGGGCTTTAGTGTCCCCGTGGCCCGGTCCTTGACCAGGCCTCCACCCCCAGGAAGCAGCCCGTGACAGCTGACTAACACCCAGGTACCTATTTTTACTGCTAGGTAACAGGGGCATAGGGTGAAAGAAACTCTGCCCATTGTTTCTTGCCGGCGCCTGGGATCGAACGCGGGACCACAGGATCACAAGTCTAGCGTGCTGTCCGCTCGGCCGACCGGCTCCCCACGAAAGCAAACCATGCTCATAGTTTGCTATGATTTATTTCAAGTATACAGTAATTGTGTCTTTCTTTCTCTTGGCAACACTATCTTTAGCAAGCAGCTTCTTTGGCGATATCATGGGTTACAAATTCTAGTCAAAAAACCACAAAAAGAAACAAATAAAAGCACAAATAAATACAGAGGGATGCTTATCCTGCATGATAAAATAACACTGTCGTCGGAGGTGTCCGAGAATTTGCTAGAACCAGTGGAAATACTAGGAAGCCCCACGTGGTTTTCTCGTTAACGGAACTGATGCACATCAGTCGAGATAAATTTTCTGCGAGTGACTCGCTTGTTATCTGAAGTGCTTGTAGATGCGGCTGCTCATCACCCGAGGTTCCTCTGTATATGCTAATGATTATGACTGAATAATGTTTAGCTTTATTGCTTGGACTTTGTTCTAAAAAGTTTATAATTAAATGAACATTGCTCTGTTCATTGACATTCTTCAAGTTATACAATACAGCATAATACAAATGTCTTGTGTATGACCTGCTACCTTAAGCAAATGCTTGGCACTTAATCCTTGCAGGTAAACATTAGTAATGTTTGTTAATGTACTGATGTTGATCTTGTTCACTTTTAGAATAATTTACTGGGGGAAGCCCCTTTGACTCCCTGGAGCTATCCAGGCTGATATGTTTACAGTATTATTAGACTTTGGCATCAGTCAGTGTGACTAGAGTTCTAGGTCTACCGGAGACCACAAGCCAGAACCTGGCCCCCTCAGAGAGGCACGAGGAGCAATGGATGATTTCGGGGCTTTTTTTTTTTAGTGTCCCCGCGGCCCAGTCCTCGACGAGGTCTCCACCCCCAGGAAGCAGCCTGTGACAGCTGACTAACACCCAGGTACCCAATTTACTGCTAGGTAACAGGGGCATAGGGTGAAAGAAACTCTGCCCATTGTTTCTCGCCGGCACCTGGGATCGAACCCAGGACCATAGGATCACAAGTCCCGCGTGCTGTCCGCTCCGCCGACCGGCTCCCCATCACGTTGGCTATCCACCTGTCATTTCTCGGCTGATGTGATCCTGCTCGGTCGTGTGACTCCAACTCCAGTTTCCCTCTGTGTTGTGCTTTGTCTTGTCCAGAACTGCTCTTATGGTGGCATGTGAGCTGGGAGTAATTTTTACAGGTACTCGGACTACACGTGCTTAGGGTTTCCTTCCCTGAGTGCCCTGTAAGTTCCACCCTTGAGGCTTGGGGTTCTACCTCTGTTGGTCTTTTGCTGCTTGGTGATTGACCATCCTGGGAATGTTGGGGGTTTCCTCCTCCATTGTTACCTTGGGGTAAGTGGTAGTTTTTGCATTGGCGCTGGATTCCGCGCAGCTAGTTTTCACGTATTACAGTGGCAGGCAGGCTTTGTTCCTCCTGGATATGTTGTCCTCTTGCGGGTTTTTTCTTTTCATTTTTGTTTGTGCCTAGTGTGGGGGGTCTGCTTTTGTTTCCCTGCCCCCCTATTATATTAGAGTCTTGCCCTCCTGTGTTTGGTAGTACCCCTTGCTTGGCCCTCCGTGAGTGGACACATCCCGGGGGTTCAGTTTTAGAAGTTTGTTTGGTAGACTTGGGTGCCGGTTAGCAGTATCCTACCTGGGCTTACCCATAGCGATACCAGTCAAAGGGCCCTGGGAAACCCGGCGGGGGCGCAAAGGGTCCGATGGATGCGACCTCTGGGTTCCCTCTTAGTTTGTGCGAGTTTGAGGGTTGCTCTGTCCCTTTGTCTTAGGGCGACACTCATTATTTTTGCCTCCATCATGCTGCCTATTGGGTCGGTGACACCATCGACCTAGAGTTGTGCGAGCATTGTTGCTTGTTTGTGACTATTCACCCAATCAACTGATGACATTATTCGGATGCAGGCAGCTCAGGCGTTGCATGCTAGGTATAGGTTGCTGCATTGTGCTAGGTTGGTTGCCACCCCGGATGCCTTGAGGCTGTCCCAGTTTGCTTATAGGGACCCAGACTTGGAGAGGGTGGGTCACTTCGGCCTTGGTTCAGTCCGCACCCCCCTCGTTCTTCCCCTGTTGTGGTTCATTCTGGTCCCCCCCTCCCCCTTTTGCTTCTGGTTCCGAAGTGTCTGTGGGCTTCGAGGTCGGGGCAGGGTTTAGAGGATTCTGAGACTTGGGCAGTTTCAGGGATTGCCCCTTCTGGGGTGGTGACTGAGGCATTCAAGTCGGTTCCTCCAGCCGTGGCGACAGGGTCTGACGAGTGGGCCTTTTTTCTTCGTGCTTTTCCGGCTGCCCTGTCTTTTTCTTGTGGGGCAGGGGCTTTGGAGGATGACTCGTCTCCGGAGCCTGATGTGGAGGTTCATGAGGTTGGGGAGGGGACTAACTTGGGGCACCTTGTGCCCTGCTTAACCCCGCCTGGGTTTTCCCACCCTCAATATGGGGCTTTTTGTTGCAAGTAGTGGGGTTTTCCTCCCCCCCCCTTCCCCATCCAGTGTGCGTACGAGGTGGATTTGGGTTTGGCAACTCTCTGGGTTCGGTTCTGTATCCCTTCGTGTTCTTCAGTTCCATCCCTCCGAAGGTTTTCGACTTCCTACGTCTTACCTACTGAGGTCCAGGCAGCTATTGCGGCTTACCTCCTGCGCGACCCAGAATTTGCCTCTATTATGGATCCGTTATCCTTCAGGTTTGCATCTTCTGTCTCCATACTGGGTTCGTTATGAGATTCCAGAGTCGTCCTGGCTTGTGGACTGCTCGTTGTTGTTATTGGATGCTTGGAGTACTTTGTTGTACCCGCACGCTTGAGTGGCGGAAGGCATTTGACTGTGGTCCAGGTTTTCCTGGTGGGGCGACTTTGAGTACCTCAGTGTGTGTGTGTGTGTTTTTGCCCCTACCCTTCTGTGGGATGTAGGTATGGTTCAGCTTCACGTGCAGGTTCCCTCCCTTTCGGCTGCCCTTGTGGCTGAGGACTTGCACGCTCGTGACTTGTTGGCTTTGGTCTTGCGTTTCTTTTCCCTCCTGCAACTGTCTTCGAATTGGCATGCAGAGGATGTAGGTTGAGGTTGTTCCTGGGTCTGGTGTCTTGGTCTCCGCTGCTCATGCGTCGTCTTTAATTACCTAAGTGTAATTACCTAAGTGTAGTTACAGGATGAGAGCTACGCTCGTGGTGTCCCGTCTTCCCAGCACTCTTTGTCATATAACGCTTTGAAACTACTTGCCTGCACTGCTTGAGATGTTTGTGCCGATCCTGCGGCGCAAACAGCTTCATGGTTGGTGAAATAGTATCCACTCAATTTAATGGCCTTTTATTTACCGATTTGCCGGTTCCATCGACTGGTTTGGGAGACCGGTATCTGGAGCCTCATATACCGGACTGGTGGTCGATGTAACTGTACGTTGGTATTGGGTTTGTTTTGGCATGGCGGGCCCTCACATGGCAACAGGCCATCCACCTCAATCATCCGAGCGTAAATCTTAACTTTCTTTTAAAATGGTACAGTTTAATGAAGCAAATTCTAAATTATTATTAATTAAATATTTTTAAACAATTGTTATTAAGCAAATTTTCTATGGGGAGCCCCTACGTCTCCCTGGAGCTTATCGGGCTAATGTATGTTATATTAGACCGGGACATTAGCTAAGGAGTTCAGACCTACCAGGGACCAGCGCCAGAACCTGGCCCCTTTAGAGAGGTTTCAGGGAGCAATGGCCCTGGAAAACCCCCTTGTGGTTGGGGTTTTCCTTATCTGCCATCGACCAGGGTTAGGCACCCAGAAAGGTAGGCATAACAAAACAAACCCCACATGGTAAACAACTAAAACAAAAAACCGAACAGAGGCAGAAACTCCCTACAATCCCAAGGAAACAAGCAAACATCACACTTTACTGCCGCGCCGATCATCCGCGCAGCCCTCCCCGCCCCGAGAGGGGGAGGGGGGAGCCCCGGACCTACCGCGCCGGCTGCCTAGCTTCATTTCATAAGTTAATGTCAACAGGGATAGACGCTTCTCTGGCCTCAGTTTCCTAGGCGGTGTTTGCCTTGTGTGGCGTTCACTGCCGTGTGTTGTGTTGTGCGGTGGCCAGGAGTACCTCATCAGTGCTGGGGCTGCATGCGCTTAGGGGCTTCCTTCCCTAAGCGCCCTGTTAGTACTGCCCTTGCGTGACAGGGTTATCTTCCCTGGGGCGTTCTGGAACCATTCCCGTAGAGGTTCTTGCTGCTCGGCATTTGCCTCGCCCTTGGGGCCAGCTGGGGCTTGGGGCCCTTGTTTGGCCCTGGGTAGGGACTGGTATTGTGCTGGTTAGGGCGTCAAGGTGTTGCGCGACCTGCCACCTAAGCGGCGACCGGTTCCTGTTGCCTCTGGAGACCGGTTCCTGTTGCCTCTGGAGACGGTGTACTTTTGCGGGGTTTTTCTTTTGTTTTTATT